TTTTTTTTTTTTTTTTTTTTTTACGGGCCATTCATCCCGACTCCTCAACATGAGGCTCGGCCCGAGCCTTGGCTCGGTTCCATCGAGCCCGAGCCGTCCGAGCCGCCGAGCTTTTTTGCCATCCCTACATCTCATAAATTACTAATAGAGAATACGGAACTACAAGGACACTTGTTTTTTATGCAGATTGAACAATGATTTTAATAGTGAATTAATAAAGTGGTAAATATTTACTTCCAAGCTGCATAATATCCAGCCCTGTTTGATCTCCATTCTTTAGAAACTCTTTTTTTCCCCAAACTCATTGTTAACCACAGATTTTCTCAATAAAATAATTTTACACGTCGAACACATTCTTCAAAAAATAACTAAAAATGGGGCTCAAACAAACCCTCGGTTTACAAATTTGTGTCTAAATAGTCATGGCTCGGCTCGGCCCTTAAACCCACGAGCTCACGAGCCGAGCCTCCTTTGCTCGTGGGAGAGCTCGACTCGGACCATGAGCTCGTGAGCTCACGAGCAGAGCCGCGAGCCCACGAGGTTTTTGAATTTTTTTTAATACTTTTTCACGTTTTTTTCAAATTTTTCTTTAATTTTTCACTAGCCCACGAGCCGCTTGGCTCGTCGAGCTGACTTGTGGCTAAATGACGAGCCCGAGTGGCTTGCGGCTCGTGTTTTCACCAGCGGCCGCTCGGTCCGTTTGCCATCTCTATGTCTAAACCAAGTAAAGCAATCTACAGTATATTGTGGCCCATTCAGTTTGGTCCTAGGAGCATCTTGGTATTTATAGTTGATGTGGGGCCAACTCTATTATTGGGTAGCTTGATGGCAGCCCTAATAGTTTTTAGTTATGTCCTTCCTTCCCACTCATAATACCCTATGAATCATGATAGAATATGAGAGAGATTGAACCCGTTGAGAACTACTATAATGGACTTAAATAGGGAAAGGGAGCACTGAAGTAAACTGAGACTTCCATTTTTTAGTTCTGCATCCTGTATCCTTGCCATTCTGTTGAAGGATAAATCTTCTATTTGGAGATGTTGCTAGTTTGTTGACATTTTCTTTATTTCTTTATTGTAATATCATTTGTTTGGCTGGAAATGATTTGTAGTTCTGCTAAGTTCACATTGTGGTGAATCTGGTGATATATGGGTTCAGCTGCTTGCATTCTTTTTTTTTTTCTAATTTTTAAGTTTTTCATAGTAGGATGGGAGAAAACAGTGTTTATGTATTTAGCATAAATATAATATTGGCATGCTATATTATTTCTGTTTTGTGTTGTTTGAGAGCTCTCCCATCCCATGCGTCCACTTAATTTGTTAGACATGTAAACTCTCCTTTATACTGATATTTATATGGCTGAATATAGATCGTTCATCTGTTTTCTTAGCAAAAATACACTCATCTATTTATCCCCGTTTTGCTTTAGTCTCGTCTGGTTTGTGTCACTTAAGTTTCAAATTGTCTAGCCTGCACTTCTATTCGGAAACTACTTGTGCTACCAAATAATCTGCCTGTCAAGAATCAAGATATTTCATCACTCTTGTACAATATCTTTTTTCAATATATTTTATTTGAAGTTATTTCCCCCTGTTGATGTTTTTAGGATTGGGAGGGGCTTTAAGCTGTGAGGGTGAGGCTGTAGAGGCGACTGGCCTACTCTTACTCTGTGTAGGTGGACTTGAGGTGCTATTGAAGCTTTATGCCCGTTGACACGGGACAATTAGAAAGTGTTAATGAAATTAAATTATGGATCAAATCAAACCAAAGAATGCCATTGTCGGCCTGACTTGATCACAATCTCTTGATATAAGCAAATAGTAGATTAATAGTCATGAATTAATTGCTGTAACAATGAAGAGATGTGGCCTTATTGAATGGCTGCATAACGATAGATTGTACCTTGGAAGTGAATATGTATGACGTTTAAGAAAAACTACACAATAATGTGCCTTTGACAGTATTATCTACTGACCATCAAGATTATGCTACCATACAAATAATTCACATCTCACGTAGAAAGTCATATAAATCAATGATTCCAATCAAAATAAGTGAAGAAATTCAAACAAAAAACTTAACCATACCAAGTCCATCTTGGAAGATTCGTACTCTCGAGTACTGGATTAGTTCTTGTTACTGCTGCACGAGGCATTTTGCTGCTATTAATCCAATATGTTTCAAGGAACTCTCCGTCATCAGCTTCCTTTTCCATATCTTGAGTTTTCCTTTCTGCTACAGATTTTACAACTACAGTTGCACCCAATCCCACAAAGATTAACCCCAAGAACCCTAACAAAAACACGATAACCCACAAAACCCGCACCTTCTGCTTATTCTTGTTAGGAATGACTATTGTAAAATGGCCTAAAGTTTTACTGTAACACACATTAGGCAAGTTCATTTCACTTAGAAACACATTCTCATAAGCATCAAATGCAGCACATTTTGCTCTTTCTCGAGTGTCTTTGTCGACCATTGAAGTGTGAAATTCAATTGAAATAGGTTTCCTCATTGTGTTGAGCTCGAGTTTCGAGAAATTTTTGCTTCTGCTGCTCAAATGGGATGCATCATAAACCATAAATCCAATAACGGGGCTGATCAGAGAATAACCTGATAAGTTGTAGTATAAAGAAGACCAGTTGCCAAGATCATGGTACACAATAAGAATTCTCCTCACATAAGGCACTGGTAGAGATTTTGGAGGGATATGAAAACCACTAAAATTTGCACCATTTCTCCACAAGGTTTTGCTTCTGAGCCCGACAGCCGAAACCTTAATGCCAGCTAAGCTTGCTGGGAGACTTGCATTGTGTAGGGCTCCAGTATGTGGACGCTCATTGGTTAGAGCTTTGAAAGCATGGTCTTGAAGAATGGCGGCTAGATCATCGTCGAAACTGCTTCTAACGCAGTGGATGGAACAACAGAATTGGAGGAAGATGAACGAGATCGAGTGAAAACTCTTGTTGTGTCCCATGTAGTACAATCTGAAGAATCTGCTGATCAGTACAAGTGCTCTGTGTTCATAAAGTGTAAATGTAGAATGGGTCTCAGTTTTCCCTAATGTAGATCCTACACTGCTGATCAAGAATCTGCTATTTTTCCAAAAAAGTTCTCTTTCGTTTGCTAGAAGTAGTCCTTCTCGAGTTAGGTAGGTAGCAACAAAAAGTCTCCAAGAATGGGTCTCTACTATCATATATATTTTAAAACTTAATCTTGATTTTTTGAATGAAAATTGTGCTAAAACTTCAAGATAAGAATTTGACTCTTCACAAAGTCTATGATGCAATCATAACTTTGTTCAATCATAGGGTCCCAAATTAATCATTTAGGTTTCCGTCATACTGTTGCTGGTAGACAAAAACTGAGACTTTGCCCCATAAAATGCGGTGTCAAAGGCACGCCATAGTTTTTTCTTTCCTTACGGAGCCAGTTTAGCACTAAAATTATGGAGATTATCAATAGAATAATGATAATGAATCATTCTCCCTTATTTACTCGTAAAAAGAATGTCAGAAGTCAAAACTTTCCTTCTCTTTTAGGTTTTCACTTCCATTTTGCTCATAGGTAATATTTTAACCCAACCCCAAAATTGAAGGCTTTGGATGGCACGTCGATTCCAGAGTTAGGGAATTCCCTAATCCCTATTATGAGCCTACTCACATTAGAATTAAATTAGTTAATCTTTTATGTCTGTCAGTCTGTATCAATCATCTGCCTTTAATAAAGGCTTGGTGTAATTCAATCATCACTCACCTTCAAATATGCAACTAACTTATAAAAGAGAGTTTTCACATGAATTCATCATCTAAGAAATTCAAGTGATTAATATGAAACTTGATGGTTTCACTTTAAAGATTGCGTAGAGGCTTTAGTTATGAAAAGGTGAAAGGTGACCAAGATTGTTTTTCGCAAAATCTATTTCACCCATCACTGAGATGCACACAAGAACAACCCAATCATATATCCCTTGCGGGGGAATGAATAAGATTTGTATCTGCATCATTGCTCTGTCATTTCTCAAAGATGGAAGAAATTCAGAAGTGCATAAAAGAGAGAACTTGTATAAACATAATAGCTCCTAGAACTGTAGAACCATTCCAAAAACACTTGGACAGATTACATTCAACATTTAGGATTGAACTTACATATGTGAAGTATCAGTTGAACTACTTTCTTACGTGTCCTAATGGCAACTCATTGCTTAACTGTAAGCTCAGCTCTTAGATGGAGAATCCCGCCGATGAAGTAAGGGCTGTCATTGTCCATAAATGCAGACCACGGGACACTAAACAGGTTCCGATAGCCAACTGCCTTTCCTCCGGTGAAGGTGTAGTTTCCTTTGTACTTGCTCACAAACTCCTCGGATGGTTTTGCTCTTGATGCAAACTCGTAGTCAACAGCAAATGCTACTGACCCCTTCTCTTGCATCCCTAAGAACAGCCCAAAACAATGGAAAGAACTCTGTTGGTCCATGTTGCAGTGGGCCGATAGGAAAAATCCTTGCCCGCCCAAGTGAAAAGCCTGCGAGTAGACTCGACCAGCTGGGAAGAGTTGCGCGCACTCGCCCTGCGTCAGATCCAGATAAACAATGCACTGCAGACGAGGCGATTCAAATTCGACGACCTTGACTGGTCGATATTTGTATGCACGCTCCACAAAACGACGGGAGGAAGTGTTGGCCTCCTCTGCCACGAGAGAACGCTGTCGAGATGGAGCTTCAGCCTTCAAAAAGAGAGCATCAAGTACTACCTTGGAAGCGATTTCAGGATCAAAATCATTGCATACCAGGACCTTCACCACGAGAGAACGCTGTCGATATGGAGCTTCAGCCTTGAAAAAGAGAGCATCAAGTACTACCTTGGAAGCGATTTCAGGATCAAAATCATTGCATACCAGGACCTTCTTCAGTTTTCTGCAACTCATACATGGGAAACGGATGAAGCGAAGGAGCCGTGTGCTTAAGATTTCTCGACGTTCCTCCAACTTAGGGTAATGTATACGGGCCCACTTCAGCACAAAATCATAAACAGCATCCTCTGACGCTACTTGAAGATTATCGCTGTACAGAACGGCTTCAATGCCTGCTAAAGGCAAGTTCAGCACCTCTTCTTGGAACCTGGTAAAGAAGAAAACAGTTTAACATTCACGGATTGCAAATTCAGTGGCAAGTCAAATATAAATTCATTAATTTTGAAATGTGGGTTCTTACTTGCTTATGTCCTTGAAACGTACGGCCAGGAACTTCTTGGCTGCATCTGTAAGTGACTGAACCGTATCACCCATTGAAATGGTAGAAGGAAGATCCAGATAGAGCAAGGCTGAGTCACAAGTCATTGGTAAGTTCCGCAATAACCGGCTGCAGTACCTCATACATGAAGCAACTTCAAATTTGTCGGCAGCCATTAGCACATCCAGCAACTCTGAAGGTTTGGTCCTTGGTAGAGAATTACTGTACATAAAGTTCAGCAGATCCATGAGGGCAGCTTCTTCTGCTCACAATAGTGGAGACCCAAGCCATGGTGAGTTCAATTAATTAATTCAAACAGGTATCTGAAAGCAGATTCAAGGACAAGAAACTGATAAATATTATCATTTCATTTCAAGAGATGAGATATTTGAGCGGAGCAATTGAGGCTTGCCTCATGTACACAAATCCTATTCAAAGATCAGAGAACATGTGTTCCATAGCTTGTAATAAACCAAAAGAAAGCCCTTTTTATCCAAAAAAGAGAGTTTTCAGTTTCAAAACCTCTGCTGAAAGACGAAATAAATAAGCAAATACAATCTGCATTTAATCCTAATAAGAATCTAATCATTTAAGTAAATTATTTTTGAATAGCAAATCAGCAGCAAGAATACGTATCTATGTTTACCTGAGGCATGGATTTGTATGGTTACATGTCGCTGCTCTGACTCTTTCACGCCATTTGAGAACAGCTATAAAAAAGAGGAGATAAATCATTGGAAAATCTACATCTGAGAAGTAGACAGAGAAAGAGACAAACCATATTAAACATAACTTACCTTATAAAAGAAGGGGCTCTTTGCTGCTAGAATTGGAGAACTGATGTGTATCGTCTTCACTTGAACAGGTGAACAGTCTATGCTTGAGGTTTCATTGGCCTGACTTACTGCATCGTCTGCACGAATATCCCATTCGTTTTGTTAAGATGCAGAACAAGACCGACTAAATGGATTATCACAGTGTCCAAAATTCCAGTTATCAAATTTAATGAAATATGGCGAATGCAGAGTTATAGACATCAACTAAAAAGCTGTGCCATATTTCAGAATGCCATTCAGAGATTTCGAAAAATAATGGAAAATTTCGAATTGATGGTAGAAAAAATTCTTTAACAAACAATAGAGGACTAGAGCAAGAATAGATTGTTCATACCAACTTGATTCGTAGCCAATTCCACAACTGCAGGCGCCTCTTCAATCATTGCCATAATTTCCTCTTCCTGATTTCCATAATCTTCCATATCAGGCATACTACAATTTAAAATCTGCTCTTCACGTTGCATGGTCACATCTGCAGCTCAGTTCAATAAAGCAATGGACTAACTCAGCAACTTCATATTGTGTATAAAGGAATGACTCGCAAGCATCCATGCCAGTTCGTGAGAACTGTCAAAAGATATGAGTGGTCTCTAAACAAAGAAGTTCACAATTGGCATAATTAATTAAGCAAGCATCAGAAATTCTCACCACTAGACATAGAAGACCTAAAATATATAGATTAAATTTACAAGTTAACCCGTATTTGGCCCCACCTCAGTTGTTATAGGCAACTATATGTAAGATGGTCACATTAGCGAAAGAAATCAGAATTCCTCCCAGGAAATGGGAGAAAACAAATCCATTTGGAACAAAGACTGCCCCTGTAACCAGCCCCGCCCCACCCCACAGAGAGAGAGAGACGAAGAGAGTCCATAGATTTTATGACAAAGATTTAATTACCAGTTATTGACCGACATGTGATTGAGGGAAAAAAAAAACAAACAAACCTTGATAATATGGCCTTTGCATCAATGATCAATTTTAAGAAATCCATTTCATAGCCCTGTGTTATCCTTAAAGTCCGTTTCCACAAACTTGACAAAATACCAATTCAACTTTGTACAAGACAACATCAAAATGTTGCATCAATTCAACCATGGTTGAAGTGAAAATGAAAAGGGGAGCCAAGCAACACGTGAGAATAAGTACAAGAAGGATTCATATATAGAACGATACAGGATGAATGGTGATCAAAACTCAAGGAAAGGAGAATCCTACATATGGAGCTAAATACACGCTTGCAATCCTTGTAAGAAAACCGAAGTGCACAGATGCTGGAGTCAATACAAAACTAGTGATGAAGATGTACATAGACAACCAACTTTAGAAGTGATTCCGAAGCAGAACATTCTGGATGTAAAAGAGGTGCAAGCGAAAGCTCCTGATTCAGCCAATTACCCTTAAATTGCCACGCCGGATCACAAATTTCCCATCAAGGGATAAAGTGAAGAAAATATATTTTGTTACACAGGCACCTCTATTCCATTTTTATGTGTACATGCAGGAAAGCCCTAATTCTAAATCTTGAATTCTTGATAAAAAAATTAACATCAATTCATCACAAACAAACAATCATATCAAGTTCCAAGACTTGCAGACAAAAGCTCCTTAAAACTAAATCTTGGTCACACAATATATTTTCCAAGAAAAACAGATAATTTATAACCATCAATAATTCCCCAAAATCCTTTCTGTAACGAGAAATTCAGTAAATTCCCAATCCACAACTTTAAAACAAAAACCCATAAAATTTATTAACACTAAAGACGCCAACACCATATCCAAAGATTCACAACCAAAATCAAACGCCATCAAAATCTCCATTGCCAAAAATATTTGAAGGCGAAAAATAAACAAGTTAGACATATAACAACGTTAACAATAATTGGTACCAATAGCTGTGTTCAGATGATCATTCCGTCGGCGCTTGCGATTTCGAGCCCAACCTGAGAGGCTATCGACCGGTTCGGGCTTGGAGCTAGGTGAGTCGGGTTGTATCTGGATCCGGAGAATTCGATCCGAAAAGTTGACATCATTGAACGCGAATGCAAAGTCCAAGGCCGAGTCCGACGACCCACCGCCGAACGAGCAGACGGAGTCCATTAACCTTATTCGAGAATTAAACAGGTTCACTTTTTGCAATTTTTGTATATATCCCAATAATTAAAATTGCATATACACCTTTCAATCCTTGGTTACATAAGTGTGTGTGTGTGTGTGTGTGTATATGAAAGATGTTACAGAGAAATGAAGAAGAGAGCTGTAAAACAAGAAGAAGGACGTAAAGGGAAAGTTTTTTCTAGAGAGAGAAATGAAAATTGGGTTTCATTTGTTTTTATTCTTACGAGGAACAAACGAACAAAAATATTGCTAACTCAGTTTATTTTATTGGAAATTGCACCACTGGTTCCCAATCTATTGTTTTATTATCATATTGGTCTTTAACCTTTAAAAAATAGAAAGTTGCTCCCAAATGTTTCATCGTGTAAATTCAATCCATAAAGACACAATGTGTTCAATTTCGAGGTAATCATGCGGCATTCGCATGTTCAACTTTATAAAGTTAGATTTTATTTCTTAATTTAAAGCATGTTTGTAAGTGTTTAAATTAAAATTTAATTAACTGTAAATTGTGGGTTATTATGGATAATGAATGACAGTTGTAAATCATACAAAATTTATTGATGAAAATTATGTTTGATTAGCTTAAATTACAATTTAAGCTTTGTCAAGCACGTACTTAAGTTAGTGTTGAACCCTAGAAAATCGTTGGGGAATCTAGTAAGCTATAATCACAACTTGATTATATATTTTTTTTTATCGATTTGGTGTTTACTAATTGTAGATTTAGGAGTCCAGGGCTATTTTGATGCATGATGCACGAGTGATATCAAATGTAGGCAAATTCTGAATACCAAACATGAGTTCAAAAATAACACGAGTAGACAAATTCAAAAATAATATAAGGTTGGGGATTAAGTTGCTCTTTTCTTAAGGTTGGAGACTGACTTAAAACTGTACCAATAATTTTGTAATCATTGTTATTCACACCTTCAATTTTGTAATTATTTTGTGTACGACCCATAAATTCTCATAAAAAATTATTTCATATAACAAAAAAGTTAACACACTTTATTGTGCTCTTAAATTACTATTACTCATTTGCTTAATCCCTCGTAAACGATCCTAAAATTATGTTATTTCAAGCTAATTAAAAACTTAGTTACAATTCGAGATGTTAATTGGTCACGTAATAATGAAATTAAATTGGCTATCTATGATAAAAAAAAATGAAATTTAAAGTAATAAGAAGAAATTATTATAGTTTTCCTTTTAATCTCTTGTGTAAATTGCAATATTCTTTCATATATTTATTTAATCATGAGAATGGGTAAATGGTCTTTAATATATAATCACTAAAGTTTGAGGTGCATCATGTAGATTGACTATAGTTTGAGGGGCAAAGGGGAATTTATTAAAAATTAAATTATATCTGAAAGGACACGTGGCAGGCATGCAACAATTGGGAACCTTTTGGAGGTTGGCAAGCTCATGTTAAATGTGTGCTTCTCGTTGCTCTGGCTTGTGGGACCCACAACGATGCTCTTTCATTTGTTTTTGCTTTTTTTATTTAAAATAATTAGAACTGTTCCCTTCAAGTTCAACCTTAAAGATTTGATCCTCCTCTAATTTATTCTTAATAAATTACTCCTCGACCTTATGCGAAATTTGATGTGAAGACAATGTCGTCGACTTATCCCGTCAATCGATCAACTTTTCTCCCGTCACGTGTTGTTTGACAAAATTTTAAAAAGTCATTAAACAATTAAAGTCAAAATTAATAATTAATTTTAACAGTGCATTACATGAATTGCATTCTGTTGTGGGATTGGCAACAACAAGGTAGGGGGCTTCAGAGGTAAGGCGTTTTTCGAATGGGGTAGGGATAAGATGGAATTTTCATATTTATTTTTTCTTACTTGAGTTCTTGACACTCATTGTAACAGAAAATGTGAACAAGGACGAAATTGCACCTAAAGAAGAAGGTTGAACACTTAAATATCAATAAATAAAAATAAAGGGTGAAACTATGACCATATCCAAAAGTTGGAGACATCTTGTATAGTTTGCCTTTATGACATTAAGGGTGGGGTAATTGGCAAAAACGTGCCTATCATTTGCATTCATCGCTAAAATAGTTCTCATCGTTTCAAATTTGATATTCGCACCCTCATTTCAAACATTTCTATTCCGTTAATTCCACCTTGAAATAAATGCATGGAATTCACTCATATTATTTCAAAAGGGTAAATAAGTCAAGTCACTATATCTCTTCCTCTCTAAAAGTTTTTGGTGAATATCGTCCTTATGGCTTGATGTAATTTACAAGTTTAGACCTCAGCTCAAAATGTTGTCGGTAAATATCATCCCTTGCCCTTTAACCATTTGGCACAAATAATCATTAAGAAGCTATACAGTACAAGTTCTCAATATTAACCTGCTATATTAGATAAAAAAAAATACCATAGTTAAAAAAAATTAACCTGCCACACAATAGATAATTACATTTTTAACCAACCAAACATATCTTAATATTTCTGATATGCTAAACTGCCTACTATGTATATTGCATTGAGCAGTTAGACAAAAATTGATAAGATCTATAGAAAACAATTACAGCAGTCAGAATTTTAAGAAGTTAAAAAATATTTGGGTATCCCTGCATCCTCAGGTGGCGTTTGGCGGTGGCAAAGTGGTGTAGGTTCTCTTGTTGTGACTTGTTTGCCCACACTTCTTGCACTTCATCTTCAACCCCACCCTGCTTGCATTTCCTGTCGATACCCTAGCATTGCTTGAAGATGACTCAACATTACTTGATGAGCCCATAACTTCACGTGCATTAGCTTCCTTTCGTCTAACCTTCTTTGGTCTCCCGCCCTTTTTGGTTTAGAAAGGTGGATTCAAGCGGTCGAGACCTGGATTATACCATAAATCTGGACTTGTCATGGGTAAGATAGAGCCTAGAGGGTGTATACGTTCCAACATACATTGCCTTCTTTTAGACGTCATCTATGTAGTCAATAACCTTCGTTCCCATTGAGATTAAGGATGCAGTCACATGGCAACAAGGGATCCCAGTCAACTGCCAAGCTCGACAAGAACAAATCTTTGCTTTGATATCCACTGCATTTAGGGTTCCAATGTTGTACATGACTTTGAACTTTTCATTGCCTGAGTAATCTGCATACTCTCTCCTATTTTTGTACACCATGCTACATCTAGGAACACAATTGAAAGTCTTAATTTCGAAGCTTGATTTATCCTCTTGCTTTGTTGCCCATGAGCATGTTTGTTTACGAGTAGCTCTCAACCTCTTAGCACCATTCTTCAAATATTTGATCTCCCTGTCATACCTCACTGAATGCTCAGTAATAGCATCTTTCAAAACCTTCTTTGACTCAAATATTTGCCTTGCCAATAAATTCATTGAGTGTAAAAAAATTAGTTTAAAAACTAAAGCCAATAATTATAAAAGCCATTTTCCTTTTAAATACAAGCCTCAAGGAATTGGTTGATCGATTCAACAAGGGTCGACTACCCGGAGTAAAATCGATTTACAAAATAACCACAACCCATTTCAAAAATTGAAAATAAAACTTACCGGCGTCGACATTGAAGTAGTCGGCGTCAAAATAAAAGTGGGAAAGTGATAGTGGAATGGGTTCAAGGGGTGGCTTCTTCCCTTTGGAGAATTTTGGAAATGATGTTGTTACATGTATATAACTGTTTAAATAAGAAATTACATAATATAACATGACACTTTACCATTTGTTGGTTTAAAATATAATCAACTTTTTCATTCAATTTTTTTTCCTTCTACGTCATTTATATAATTTCTTATGTAACATTTTTATGTATAAGTAGCATAATCCTAGATTTGGTCTGGCTTATTCAATTTGGAGATTTTGTAGTGTTCCAAATCTCCTTTTATTTTTATGAATGGACACGATAAAACTATGCAATTTAGTTTAGTATATACAAGAATTTTTCCCCCAAAAAATATAGTGACTTGACTAATTTACCCTTTTCAAATCATATGAGTGAATTCCAATGTATTTATTTCGCGGTGGAATTAACGGAATGTGATGGAAAGGACCAATTCCTCAAGAAATGTTTAAAATGATGGTGCAAATGTCAAATTTGAAATGATATGGACTATTTTAGCAATGAATGCAAACGATATGGACGTTTTCTGCCAATTACTCTTAAGGGTGTCTTTGATTGACTTTATTTTTCATGAAAAATGTTTATTTTCCATCCAAGTTTTATTTTTGAATGTTTGATCGACTTTTTTCTCTTGAAAATTATTTTTCAAAAATTGGTCACGTGATCATGTTTTCCTAAAAAACAAGAGACATATTTTCTTTA